CTGCGAGCGCGTCCCCGCCGCGGGGCGGGGCGGGGCGGCGCGGGCGCGTCACTAGAACGCAGGGATAGAAGGAGACTAACGTAGGAGCCGTGTGCGCAGGCGCCGGGTGGGGAGCTCAGCGACAGAAGGTGGAGGTGGGGGAGTTGCGGACGGCGGCTCTGTCGGCCATGTTTTCCACTGTCTAGGTCTTAGGAAGTAACGTAAGTACTGTGGAAAAGTCTCGTCCATGCTCTTTAAAAATATTTGGGAACGCTGGATACAAGAAGAAGTGAGGCAAGCATGATACAAAATATCCTGCGCCCTGAATGCAACCACTAAACAATCTTAAAAAAAAAAAAAAAAAAGAAAAGCACCACTTCTATCATGTAGCCCTAAATTATTGTCTGGATTTCAGCATTTGCTAAGGTTCTGAGACCTATTTTAAACTAGTTAAGGCTTTAGTGGCTGGGACTCACACACACTGAAATTGGATTGGAAGAATTTTCAAGATTTTGAAAGTTTAAACGAGTGAACATTTTGGAGACAGGAAGTGGATACCCTACACAGTTAAAACATTTTGGCATTAAGCCGGTCCTTTTCAGTGTTAAGGCCAGATGAACTGTAAAAAAAGGAAATGGAAGGTCGTGAGGGAAAAGCGCCAGGAAACAACCTCTGAACAACAAAATCTTCAAACTACACTTCAGTGTACCAAAATAATTGCCAATCCTGACCTCGCACCCTTCCTCCCCTTTTGTTTCTTGAACAAAATGCTTGCTTAGTCATTCCAAACTTAGTGGAAAATGTATAAAATCAAACATTAACGATTAAGCTAATTTTACTGCTCACACTTGCACAGGAGAGCAACGTATATTGCCCAGCCCTATGCAGATGCACAATTATGGATAAAAAGTGATGAGGAATACATATTTCCAAAGTATCTGTGGTAGTTTGCATTTCTTAAACCCCTTTTCTTAATGGATTTGAAGATGCTTTAAAACCATTAATACTTAAATCTTTACATTGGGGCCAAGATCACCAAATACAAGGTAAATATTTCAGAGGGAGAAATCACAATAAATTGTGAAATTTGTAGCTGTTCAGGATACAGTTAGCACACTTAAATGTTAAACAAACCTAGGGAATCCTGGTCTTTGGAGGATGATAGCTAATCATAGTGGGCTAGTTATTGTGCCAAGCACTGTACATACATTTTCACTTAATCCTAACAACCTGCAAGATAGGCATCAACTATATTCTATTACAGATAAAAGTTGCAGTGCATGTGCAGAGAGCAATTTAGAATCCGTACAGTAAGATTATAAGGGTGAAAGAAAATGAACATTGAAAAAATCTTATGTATACTACCAAAATTAGTTTCTAAAATGTGTTTTTTTCAAAATGGTTTTAAATTTAGCAAACCCTCTCACACCTAGCCAGTTACTAATGTGAGATTTACCCAAAGTTACATTTATGAAATGAACTATTTTGTGTGTTAGTGCTTATGATTGTTTGGGGCATGCTATGCCCCTCCCCCCCCCCCCCATAATCTCTACTACCTCAGATTGTGACTGTATTTGTAGATAGGGCCTTTACCCAAGTACTTAAGGTTAAAATGAGGTCATTAGGATGGGCCCTAATCCAATATGACTGACGTCTTTATAAAGAGATTATGACATAATTACCCACTGAGGAGGATCTTGTGAATATAGAAGATGGTCATCCACAAGCCAAAGTGAGAGACCTTTGTGTAAATAACCCTGCCCATGCCTTGACCTCCTAACTGCTAGTCTCTATAACAGAATTTTAAGCTACACAGTTTCTGGTACTTTGTTATGGCAACCCTAACAAATTAATACAGTGCAAAGATTTTAAAATGGTATTTTGGTGAGGGGCACCTGGGTGGCGCAGTCAGTTGAGCATCTGACTCCTGATTTCGGCTCAGGTCATAGGATCAAGCCCCAAGCTGGGCTCGAGCTGAGCTTGGAGCTTGTTTGAGATTCTCTCTCTCCCTTGGCCCCTCTCTCCCACTCAGTCTCTTGTCTCATAAAAAAATAAATGGTATTTTGGTGGAACCTTGTAACTTTATTCCCTAATTAGTGAAGTTGAACATTTTTCTCTTGTGACTTGCCCATTCATACCTCATTGCTTTTTTGAATGTACAGTTCTTTTAAGCTTTTTAATTGCAATAAAGTTTTTGATTTTCATATAATTAAACCTGTTTCATCTTTACCTTTGTCATGTTTGTGAACTGAGAAATTCCTCTTTGGAGGTGTTTCTCCCCACCCCCGCCACCCCGGAAACTTATCCATCTGGAATTTTGGTACATCATGTGAGGCAAAATTCTTTTGCTATTTTTCTGCATATAATTTACTGGTTATCCTAACACAATTTATGGAGTAACTCTTTAATGATTTTGGATATTGCTTTAATTATATATTAAACTCCTGTGTATACACTACACTCTTATACTCTACTCTCTAAAATACTATTCTAGCTATATTCCCCACACCATTTTATTTATTATTACTATTCTAATGTTTATTTTTGAGGGAGAGCAAGTGGGGGAGGGGCAGAGAGGGAGACAGAGGATCTGAAGTGGGCTCCGTGCTACAGCAGAGACTGATGGTGCTTGAACTCAGGAACTGAATGATGGTGACCTGAAATGAATTCGGACAATTGACTGAGCCACCCAGGCGCCCCTCCCCCACACCATTTTGATGTTTGCAGCTAGTAACATTTTCATTGTAATTTGTTTTTTAAAATTTCCATTATCAATTATTCTGGATGTGCTTTACAGTTATTATGTTGAGTTCCCATCTCTACCTCTACCACAATTGGTACAAATTGAATTGAAAAGAACCATCAGTTTTCTTTTAAATTCAATAGTGAAATGGTAACTAATCAACTTTTCTAAACTGATTAAAAGTTGAATCCTATGTATTAAAATTTATCTATTCGGCCGCCTGGGTGGCTAGTTAGTTAAGCATCCAAATCTTCATTTTGGCTCAGGTCATAATCTTATAGTTTGTGAGATCAAGGCGGGCGTTGGGCTCCAAGCTAACAGTGTGGAGCCCGCTTAGGATTCTCTCTCTCCTCTCTCTCTCTGCCCCTCCCCTCACTTGTGGGGCGAAGCATTCTCTCAAAATAAACATTTAAAAAATTAAAAAATAATAAAGACATTATAAGAATGAGATCTAAGAACCAAATACCCACCATATTGGTACTTAAAAAAAAAAAAGGACAGTTTAGAATAAAAATTGAGGGAATACCAGTCAATACAAAAACATTTTGACAGTAAAAGCCTCTTAAGAGTGAGGACAAAAAAATTCAATGACATTCAGTTGGAGAAGAAAAATATCAGGTATAAGAAATGTCAAACCAAATTCTGGCCCAAAAGAGGCTTTAATATTAATTCTTGAAACCTAAATGATTAAAATAAAAGGGTGACTCAAAATGTGAGGGCATTAGGGGTACCTGGCTGGCTCAGCAGCTACAGCATGTGACTTTTAAAATTTTTTTTTAATGTTTATTTTTGAGAGAGAGAGAGCATGAACAGGGAAGGGGGAGAGAGAGAGAGGGAGACACAGAATCTGAAGCAGGCTCCATGCTTTGAGCTGTCAGCACAGAGACCTATGCGGGGCTCGAACTTACGAACTGTGAGATCATGACTTGAGCCGAAGTCAGACACTTAACTGACTGAGCCACCCAGGTGCCCCTACAGCGTGTGACTCTTGATTGCAGGGTCAGCCCATGTTGGGTGTAGAGCTTACTTTTTTAAAAAGTGAGGGTTATTAGTATAATTGGCACATCAGTTTAGTAGAAGGTATAAATGGTAATAAGAGGGTATTGCAAGCTAACTTCTAAACTGTAGTTAAGAAAGAAAATATTATTTAGATCAACTATTTGCAGAAATGATATAAACCAATAAATACCTGGCATCAGTTTTAGAATACCCAAAACCTAATCAAGGTGTGGAATATGGTTCTTGATGAAACCAATGGGATAGCCTGATAAATGATAAGGCCTGATTCAGTGAAAGCCCTATGGTCGAGATAAATGTTAGGAGAGCAGCTTCCATTTACTCTACAGAACACTTACCACATGCCAGAAGTTTTATACACATTATCTCATTTAATCCTCGCAATAGTTTTATGAGGGAATATTATTTAGGGATGAGAAAACTTGGAGATGTTAACCTGCCTAAAGTTACTAGTAGGGGGCAGAGCTGTGATTCAAACAGTCCAGGACTCCACAACTGGTGCTTATAACCAACTAATCGCATTTTCAAAATGATCACCTGTAGAATTCTGTCCTACAGTACTGTAAATGATAGGCCTTAAAAAAAATGTTCCATGGGCAAATTGGGAAATTGAGTGTTTGCTGTACTATAGGACTTCTCTGTGCCTTTACTGTAATTCTAAAGACCAGAAAATAGCAAATGGATTGGCTGGTTTTTCTAGACCATCTCTGTATCTTGTCCTTTCTAACTATGCAAAGTGAATAATTAATGGACAAGGATACTTCCAGGATATGGACTAGATATGGCAGGAATATGTAACTAGGGTGCTCAAAAATACTTGAATTTAAGGCTCAGAATTTGTTTGTTTTTTGCTCAGTGTCTTTTTAAATTATTTTTAAATGTTTATGAGAGAGAGTGTGAGTGGGGGAGGGGCAGAGAGAAAGGGACAGAGGTTCCAAGTGGGTTCCGACCTGACAGCAGTAAACCTGACGTGGGGCTCAGACTCACAACCACGAGATCATGACCTAAGCATAAGTGGGACGCTCAACTGATTGAGCCACTCAGGTGCCCCGAGGCTCAGCATTTAAGAATGAATGTTTATATGTAATAATTAAACAAGAGGGCTTAAAAAAAATTAAATACATTAGATGCTAGTTTTAGTAAGGAATATGCTCTAATAACGGGAATAAAAGCTGTGTAGGGCCCTTTGGTACCACCAACTCATAGAAGATCTTAGTTGTAAACAAGCAGAAGGATGATGCAGTCTCTTGACATAATTTAAAACTGGGTAAACCACAATAGGCGTGTTCCTCTGAATAGTCTGCCAAATATTCTTCCAGATCTGTTATAGCTACTGTGCAAATGGATTGGCATGAATAGTTATGTCCTTAATGTGTACATCATTAAGAGGTCGGTATGTCTTCTCATTTACTGGTAACTTCTCCAATTCATCTAGAGTCTCTAGACCATCTATTACCCTGAAAAAGAAACCATATAAATGTATGAAACATACTATCGAAATACCTATAGCATTAGAGTTTCCTTAAAAGAAAAGGATAATGTCTCAAAGTTCTTTGAATTTCCTAGTTGAGTGTACAATAAAATACTGATTTGATTTTCTACCACAGATATGAGCCAAAATTCAAGAATTCATTTTTATGCCTTTAGATAATAGCAATGAATAGGAATATTACCACTAAAATATTCCCACAGCATAGCTACAAATGGGTCTAATATAACCATTCACAGATTTTCTTTACTATGGGAAATACCCAGAGAAACTATGTAAGGGTGACACTGTTGTTAATCAGTACTGCCCTATACTGAAGGTGCTGAAGTGGGTGGCCACTTTGCACTTTATTGTGTAAATATGGTATTTTTATACTTTTTTACATCTGGGCAACAACAAAAAACAGTAGTAATAAAATAAGAGGGGAAATGGGACACTTAAACCCATTTACAGCAAACCCACCTCATGTTTTCACCAAGAAAAAGAAATATTGACAGCTATCTTCTGGCAAGTTAGTCTACAACATTTGCTAAGAAAAGGTGGCTTTAGATTATACCACCTAGTTCAACTCAAATCAATTCTGGAGACTTGTAGTATTACTTAAAAAAAAAAAGATAACAGAGGGGCGCCTGGGTGGCTCAGGTGGTTAAGCATCCGACTTCAGCTTAGGTCATGATCTCCCGATTCCTGGGTTTGAGCCCTGCGTAGGGCTGTGTGCTGACAGCTCAGAGCCTGGAGCCTGTTTTGGATTCTGTGTCTTCCTTTCTCTCTCTGCCTCTCCCCTGTTCACACTCTTGTTTCTCTCTCTCTCTCAAGAATAAACATTTAAAAAAATGTTTAAAAAAAAGATAACAGATTTACATTTTATTTTGCATTTCTTCTTTAAAATTTTTTTATTTACTTATTTTGAGAGAGAGAGGGAGAGAGAAAATCCCAAGCAGACTACACACTGACAGCACAGAGTCCAACGTGGGGCTTGAGCCCACAAACCCTGAGATCATGACCTGAGCAGAAACCAAGAGTCAGATGCTTAACCAACTGAGCCACCCAGGTGCCCCCTATTTTGCCTTTTTTTTAATGTTTGTTTATTTTTGAGAGAGAAAGAATGTGAGTGGAGGAGGGGCAGAGAGAGAGGGAGACACAGAATGTGAAGCAGGCTCCAGGCTCTGTCTGGGCTGTAAGCACGGAGCCTAATGCGGGGCTGGAACTCAAGACCCCGCACGAGATCAAGACCTGAGCACAAGTCAGGCGCTTAACCGCTGAGCCACCCAGGCACCCCTACATTTCTAATAACCTTTTGAATTTACTTCCAAATGTAGAACCATTAAAGTCTTTAAATTTTAAGTTTCAAAAGCTGTCTCTCCTCCTGGGTCAATAAGAGAAACAGAGGATATGGGAAACAGATCTCAGGCAAAAAAGGGCATGTAAAATTGAGGCCAGTAGGTCAAGTATTTTGGGACACGGGCCCCTTTGAGAATCAAAGGAAAGCTATGTACCGTATTCCCAGAAATAAATGTGTTGTATATATATAAAACACAGTTGCAAGGAATTAAGGGACCTAAGGTTAAGAATTTTTGGTTTTTTTTTTTTTAACTTTTTTTTCAATGTTTTTACTTGTTTTTGAGAGAGAGAGAGAGCGAGCGAGCATGAGCTGGGGAGGGTCAGCACAGAGCTCAGCTCTGGGCTCGAAATCACGAACTGTGAGATCATGACCTGAGTGGAAGTCAGACGCTTAACCAACTGAGCCACCCAGGTGCCCCTTTTTAAACTTTTTTTTAAAGTTTATTTATTTATTTTTTTTTAATTTTTTTTTTTTTCAACGTTTATTTATTTTTGGGACAGAGAGAGACAGAGCATGAATGGGGGAAGGGCAGAGAGAGAGGGAGACACAGAATCGGAAACAGGCTCCAGGCTCCGAGCCATCAGCCCAGGGCCTGACGCGGGGCTCGAACTCACGGACCGCGAGATCGTGACCTGACTGAAGTCGGACGCTTAACCGACTGTGCCACCCAGGCGCCCCTATTTATTTATTTTTAAAGAGAGAGAGGGAGACAGTGGGGAGTGGAGGGGCAGATAGGGAAAAAGAGAGGATTCCAAGCAGGCTCCAAACTGTCAGTGCAGAACCCAATGCAGGGCTGAAACTTACACACTGAGATTATGACCTGAGCTGAAACCAAAAGTCAGATGCTTAACCAACTGAGCCACCCAGGGGCCCCAAGAAGCTTTGTTTTTAACTCTAGTTTTATCACAAATCTAGTAACATAAACCCTAGTAATTAATGATTAATAATTCTGAATGGTGACTTAAAGGAAAAAATAAAAGGAAGAGAACCTGAATTATTTACGTCCAGGTAAATACTACTAAAGAATGTAATATTTCATTAATTTCACTGGTTATTAATCTATAAATTAGACATATGTATATGGAATGAAATAGAAGAGTTGCTGAGTCTTCTATTTTTCATTAACCTAACTTGGAATTCAAACTGTTAAATAAAAGAAACTATAACTGTACCTTGGTTTATTGAGCGTGTAAATATTTGTTGAATAAACAGACAAGTTGACTTCTTGCTGATTTATGAAAGCAATTCCCAGGCATAGTGCTTATAGTGAATATTATGGCAGAGCCTGCTAAATGCCTCCCTAGGAGTCAGGCACCCTCTCTTCTTGCAGAAACCTCATTTTACTAAGAATGGCAATGTGTCTAGCCAAAAAACATTTCCTACCCTCCCTTGTAGGTAAGAGGAGGCTTCATTGCTAAGTTCTGGGTCTTCTAGGGAAGGTCTTTAAAAAGGGGCTTACTTGGGGTGCCTGGGTGACTCAGGTGGTTAAGCATCCGACATTGGTTCAGGTCATGATCTCACAGTTTGGGAGTTCAAGTCCTGTGTCGGGCTCTGTGCTGACAGTTCAGAACCTGGAGCCTACTTTAGAATCTGTGACTCCGTCTCTCTCTGCCCCTCCCCACTCACGCTCTCTCAAAAAATAAATAAATGTTAAGTAAATAAATAAAAATAAAAAGGGGTTTACTCAGCTGACAAGCAACTAGTAAACTTTTGCTCTTCCTCCTTCCTTCTGCCTGGAACCCATGTTGTGACTGGAGCTGTGCTGCTTACATTATGACCATGAGCTGAGCTTGGGGATGGACGATAAAGATGGTTGAGGAAGAAGAGGCACCACTTAGAATATTGGTGACAAAAAGGAACCATCTTTCTTCATAAGAAATCCATTATATAACTGATACTTTGCATAACGATCCTGAAAAAAGTATTGGCTCCTGTTTCGCAAAATAAAGGAATTAAGGCTTGAAGAGGTTATAAATTCCCAAGGTCACAGGGCTGGTAAGTGGAGGGCTTACCAGGTATATTTAGCTTTCTTTTTCTTTTAAGCATTGATTTATTTTAAAAAATAAATTCCAAAAGGAATTTCCAAAGGAAACCATAACCAGAATACTCACTTTCCAAATACTGTGTATTTCATATCCAAATGTGGCTGCTTGCCATAGGTGATGAAGAACTGAGATCCATTGGTGTTTGGGCCATTATTAGCCATAGATACAACACCTCTAACATTGTGCTGTAAAAGATAGGCCAAAATATTGATTTAACTGTGTTTTTATATAAATGTTCCAAATAATAGGACTGAAACAAGACCTGAACTCTTTCAGGGACCAAGAAAACAATCAGTTTCTATTAGGGCTAATCTAAATGATCAGTTTCTGGATTATCTATATTTCTGAAACCTTGTATGTAAATTGTTTATATCAAATCATGTGCCCCAATTAATTTCATTTTCACTTTGGAGAAGTAGTCACAAACACTTAGCAATACCAATGTATGATAGGAATCCTTACATTTACATTAAGGAACAGTGTGCTGGCATGAAACAATCAGGCAGACAATAAAACCAAAATCCCCATAACCTCTTCACACATACACTGGACTCTGGCTAGTTTCTTTATCTGTAAAACAAGGGAGGGAGGTTGGACTAGTTCAGGGGTTTATTCAGAATTGAAATGCTCACAAGGGTAAGCAAATAATAAATTAATTGAACAGAATGTAAACATTACAGAGGCTGGCAAAAGGAATGGTGTTATCTCTTGCCTAATGGCCCTAATTTTTTTTTTTAAACCAATGGCCATAGATAATACATCTGTGGATCTTCCACCCAAGGGCAGTCAGTTCACAACCCAGGACTAGATGATCTAAGGAAGGTCTCCTATAGCTTTAATATTTATGATACTATTTGTTATAAAAGGGACTTGTGTAAAAGAATTAAAAAGACTTTACTGATAAGATTGAAGACGTGACAGAACTGTGTTACAAGGAGGTGCAATATAAAAGATCATAAATAACCCTAATGATTATTCTCTCTTTAGCTATTCATCAGGGGACACTAATGACACAAGCAATGGAGATACAACTGCATCAAGATATTAATGCTTTATTGACTTCCTAAAGGTGACTACCAGTCAAATGTTATATTTGATACATGCACCAGAATGTATGTACCACTTATAACTTAATACTTAATAACCTATTTCTAAGATTTAAGAATTCAAATTTACCAAACTGTTGCATATGCCTACTACTCCTCTCATCTATTATCCCAGCCTCTCCAAAAGTGAACCATTATCCTACTATCTTTATATATGCCTAAACAATATATTGTTTCCTTTTTCTTGTTTCTGAGCTCTCTAAAGTAGTATCATACTATTTGTAGTCTTCTGGGAAGTACTTTTTACACTATCATTTTCTTTCTAAGATTTACACACATATGTGTGTAGTTCTGATTTTTACTGCTTTATATTATTCCACAACTGAATATACTACAGTGTACATTTTATGATCAACGGACATTTGGGTTGTTTTTAGATTTTTGCTGTTAAAAAAACACTCTAGGAACACTCTTGTACTGTTTCCTGATGCATTTGTACAAGAGTTTTCTAGGGTAAACATTTGGGAATGGAATTGCTGGATCAGGGTATGTGAATATTCAATACACACCCTCAACTCTGCATATCAAGATAATGGTTCTTTTAAAATTTTTTTTTTTTTTAACATTTATTCATTTTTGAGAGACAAGAGACAGAGCACAAACAGGTGATGGGCAGGGAAAGGGACACACAGGATCTGAAGCAGTCTCCAGGCTCTGAGCTGTCAGCACAGAGCCTGATGCCGGGTTGGAATTCATGAAGTGTGAGATCATGACCTGAGCTGAAGTTGGACGCTTGACCGACTGAGCCACCCAGGTGCCCCTAAAGGTAATGATTCTTAATCTTGACTGTAGGTATCACCAGGAAACCTGAAAATATAATCTAGGTCCTAATCAGTCCTCCTATTTTTCTCTACATTTAGGGGGTTGTAAGACCTTAATATTTTATATTTTTACAACTACACGTGAGTCTGTAATAGCCAGTGTTGAAAATCACTGGTATAGGATGGTGGATTAGTGTTGAGGAGGCAGTTAGTTATTAATTAATGCCTAAAAAGTTCTTGTTTGTAATTCATGAAAAGAATGACTTATAATTTATCACCTCCCAACCCCAACTCCTATAACCAAAGTAATGTTTCCTTATGATAGAAAAACAAAATGAAGATAAAAAAATTACTCCTAGTACCACCATCCAGACATAAACACTGCAATGAATTTTTTTCAGAGTTTTCTTGGGCATATTTTAATGTAACTGAAATACAATACTAAATTATATATTCTTTAAAAAAATTTTTTTTTATTTTTGAGAGAGAGAGAGAGACAGAGTGTGAGCAGGAGGGCAGAGAGAGAGACACACACAGAATCTGAAGCAGGCTCCAGGCTCTGAGCTGTCAGCACAGAGCCTGATGCGGAGCTTGAACTCACAAGCCATGAGATCATGACCTGAGCCAAAGTTGGACGATTGACTGACTGAGCCACCCAGCCACCCCCTAAGTTACATATTCTTACTGAGCAGAATTTATCTCTCTTTTTCTAATTTCTAAAGTTATCATTCTATGCAGATACAAAGCTTAAAAGACCACATGATAAACTGTTAGCAGATGTCACCTCTGGGAAATGACACTTATTTATTTTAATTTTTTAAATTTAATTTAAAATAAGATTTTTTAAAAATAGGCATGCATTAGTTTTTTAGTAAAAAAAAAAAAAAAAAGTTCTTGGGGTGCCTGGCTGGCTAAGTTGGTAAAGCATGCCCTCTTAATTTTCGGGTTGTAAGTTCGAGCCCCATGTTGGATACACAGATTACTTAAAAATAAAATCTTAAAAAAAAAAGGATAAAAGTTTGAAAAACACAGAAAAATATGACAAAGGAAATAAAAACCTCTAATTTTACCATGCTATGCATTTCTCTTTAACGTAGTTGGGATCTACCACAGGTATTAAGTTAATACAGGAATATTCAAAGATCTAACAGAAAATGTTGAAAGTTGGACATTGATAATGGGCAGTATTGCAACCAGGAAGTCTTTCCTCCCTGCTATCAAAAAAAGCCCAATGATTCAGGTCATTCAACATAAATTTTATAGTGAGACATTAGGCCCTTTTGGTACATTACTGATTAAAACATTTCAGGTTGGGCCCACAGATAAGCTCACTTAATATCAAGATTCATGTGATTGTGAGATTCTAGAATATATTTTAGGCAACAACTGCCATTTATAATTTCTCCCTGGCATTTATCAAGTGTACTACTAGAAAAAAAGTATGTTTGTATACTAATAACATTAACTTGTGTTACTAAAACATATGTATTAAAGGTTTCAAGTGTAAACAAGGCATTAGAAACCAGATGTTGATGCATTGGAGATATACCTTAAGATATTCACTATATTCATCCTCAAATTTCTTGCCCCAGATACTGTTACCTCCTCTTCCGGTACCTATATTACAAGACAAGCAAATCAAAAGAAGTATCTAATTAAAGTTGAGAAAGGGTTAATTTTCTAAAACAAAAGGGCTATTTTATAACTTGTTAAATACAAATAAAATTTGACATGTCCTCTCCTCAAAATTTCACTTTACAGACTGGAAAAATAAAGTATCTCTACAAAAAACCCAATCCCCTCCCTATCAATATTGTTCATATTTTACTTTAAATCTAAGTGCTGGTAGCTTCGACTGAAAATTTCTTGCTAGGGTAAGGGGCCTGGTTATAAAAACTCTATGTAGGGGAGTTGTTCCCTACATGGGAGTGGCTCGGTTAAGTGTCTGACTCTTGATGTCAGCACAGGTCATGATCCCAGGGTCAAGGGATCAAGTTCTGTGTCCATGCTCACCATGGAACCTGCTTAAGATTCATTCTCTCTCTCTCTCTCTCTCTCTCTCTCTCTCTCTCTCTCTCTCTCTCTCCCTCTCCCTCTCCCTCTCCCTCTCCCTCCCTCCTTCCCTCCCTCCTCCCTCCGCCCCTCTCCCCCCACTTTCGCTCTCTCTCAAAAAAACAAAAAAAAACCCCAACACAACAATCCACATGCTTATATTTTATCTATTTTATAAAAATTAAATAAATTTTATTTAAAAAATATTTTGAGGGGCGCCTGGATGGCTCAGTCGGTTAAGCGGCTGACTTCGGCTCAGGTCATGATCTCGCGGTCTGTGAGTTTGAGCCCCACGTCGGGCTCTGTGCTGACAGCTCAGAGCCTGGAGCCTGTTTCGGATTCTGTGTCTCCCTCTCTCTGACCCTCCCCTGTTCATGCTCTGTCTCTCTCTGTCTCAAAAATAAATAAACGTTAAAAAAAAAAAAATATTTTGAGTATAGTTGACACACAATATTACATTATATATTTTTCTATTCTTTGTCTACCCTCTTTTTCACACTATATACCCAATTCTCTAGATATTAATAGAATAACTTACCTGTTGGATCTCCTGTTTGAACCATGAAACCCTTGATATTTCTATGAAATATACATCCATTGTAGTAATTACTGGCACAAAGAGCCAAGAAATTCTGAAAAGAGTAAAAATAATAACTGGGAAACAATATAGCAGAAACATTTAAAGAACAAACTGTATTTACTAAAAACACTATAACAATGTATTTATGTCTTTTAGGCGTTACATTGGATAATGTCACTTCTCTGCCTAAAACACTTTGCTTCCTTCTGTTTTTGGAATAAAACACACAATCTTCAGTAGGGCCTAATAGGCCCTTCATGACCTGGCCTACCTCTGCATCTCATGTGATAATAACTTCTTTCTGTTACTTACTGTGTTAACCCCATCATCCTTCTGAAAATTCATCCACAAGAGGTAAGCATTCCTACCTTGAGGCCTTTGTATTGCTATCTCTATACCTGGCATATTCTTTTTATATGTCTTTCTATGGAGATGCCTTCATTATTTTTCTGCATGTGATTTACGTATCACTTTCTTGGTTAGGCCTGCCCTCACCTTCTTTTAAATAATTATTTTCTGTTAGTCCCTACATCAACACTTTATTTCTTTCAAGACATTATCACATTCTAGAATCACTTTTTTTTCTAGAATGAATCCCTCCCTGTCCCCCCTCCCTCCTCCAATGCTTATCTTCTCAGCTAGAATATCAGTTTCACGAAGGCAAGGAATGTCTCTTGGTCATTACAGTACTCCCAGACCCTGGCAAGATAGCCTTTCATAAATAATTGTAGATTTTTTTTTTAAGTTTGAGAGAGAGAGAGTGCACGTGTGAACGAATGCCCATGTGCATGAGGGGCAGAGAGAGAATCCCAAGCAGACTCTGCACTGACAGCAGCAGAGCCTGACTTGGGGTTTGATCCTACAAACCATAAGATCATGACCTGAGCCAAAATTACAAGTCGGTGCCTAACCAACTGAGCCACCAGTTGTCCCCATAAATAAATGTTGAATGAATATATAGAGAGAGCCAATTCTTTCCTTCTTTGTCATTTAAACAAGTAACATAAGAAACAGTTATCTTACCTAACATGCTAATGATTACTTATGTTTCCAGAGGAAAATAAGTCAAAAGAAAAAGACACCAGCCACTATATGGTTAGAGAAAAATTATCTACTCTTTCTCTGATCCTCAAAGGTTAAGTGGAAACCAGGCCAATAATTCTAATGGATAGTTTTTCCTGACAATTGTTTTGTATTTTTAAATTTTATGTTTATTTATTTTTGAGAGAGATCATGTATGCATGTGTGTGCAGGGGAGGGGCAAAGTGAGGGAGGGGTAGAGGGCTGCCATGCTGGCAGCAGAGAGCCTGTTGTAGGGCTGGAACCCAAGAATCTGAACCATGAGATCAGGACCTGAACTGAAGTCAGACACTTAACCAACTAAGCCACCTAGCCGCCCCATGACAATGGTTTTATAGACAAGTTTTTTTTAATTTTTGTATTTTTAGGTTAGATAATTTGATTTCAAAATGGTTATCCTGTTGCATTAACTCATTTTTAATATGTACATAATGATACTTACCTCACATGTTTTGGGTGTCCTTTCACAGAAGACTTCTATTTTAATATCACCTACATCTGTATGCAGTGTCACTGACTAAAAAGGAGAGAGAATGTGAGAACAATTAGGATTTCTTCGGATGACTTTATGCATTGTATTATTTCCCAAACTAGATTAAAGATGACAATCTGAATGAAAACACAGAAAGAAATACCATTTCAGAGATGACCTATCCACATAGCTGAGAAGCTGTACTTCTTCAAAATTTATTTCAGCAGTAGAAAAAAAACTCCAGATGATAAATATATGTTAATGTAAAATAGTATCCACCCTAAAAACTTGACAGTAAATACTGTGATGGAAATACTTAAAGTTTGAATTTTTCATCAATAAAAATGAAAACAATGGTTACTATTACTGATTTAAATAGCAACTCCCCAACATCATTAATATATATTGAAAAATAGTAAGAAAATGACTTCAAAACATAGTCTGCACCATTTCCCTTAATGTAATTAAATTGAGAGGCAGTGTTAAAAACAATTCCTTTCTTCACTAAAGACAACAATTCTCAGTTTTTCTAGATTCTAAATGTGCAGAGATAACCATATTACTCTTGCTTGCTTGTTTTTTGTTTATCTGATGTTGAGTAACATTCCTTTTGTTACCCATTGTGGGGTGGGATTCTGAGAGGTTATTATTTTTTAATGTTTATTTTTGAGGGGGGAGGGGCAGAGAGAGAGAGGGAGACAGAATTTGAAGCAGGCTCCAGGCTCTGAGCTGTCAGCACAGAGCCTGGCACGGGGCTCAAACTCAGGAACCTCGAGATCATGACCTGAGTCAAGTCAGAAGCTTAACCAACTGAGTCACCCAGGCGCCCCTCGCGGGGTTATTCTGAGCCTTCCTTTTTCATTTCTCTTCTTCCAGTAGTATCCAGCAGTCAGTATGTTCAGGTTGATAGAGGGCAGGAGTGTGTGTGAGGTGGGGTTGGGGGGGGGGGGGGACAGCATGATTCTCATTGCTTCTGCTTCAAGCTCTAGTTGCCCACCTTAGAACAAACAAAAGGATCCAATTAAAATGATCACACCTGGCTATACACTTCAACTCCCTCTTTCCATCTATATGTTGTAATCAGTCTTTTTCTGTAAATTCTATGCATTTTAAGTGAAAACACTGAAGAATTTAAAAGTAGTTTGTTTCTGGCTTTGTTTAGAGGCATCATACATTTTATGCTTCTACAGTTTATCATTTCTGTCTTGCCATTGAAAGTTCATGCAGCTTTATTTCTCTTCAATGAATTTCTAAAAATTATTTATAATGAAAGGCATTCATAAGAATTGTGTAAAACTTACCATATTTCTTCCTGATGGTTTCGGGAAGTATTATTGCTTAATTTCTCAGTCTCCCCGAGAGAAGTTAGAAAACGAATCTCTATTCCCAAAAGAGAAAAGAATTAAGTTCATTTTCCTCTCTTAATTCACACGTGCTCATTTTTAATGCATATTTAAAATGCCTACAATAGCACCCTCTAAGTAATAAAAATTTGGTAATGGAAATGATGAGATCCTATCCGACTCAAGCCCCTCAATCTCTTACTTCCCCTGCTCACTCTTCTTCAAAAACCTCCTCGCAAACTCCGCAACTAGCCAGGTACATTTCCGCCTTGGGATCTAGGCACTGGGTGTTCCTTTTGTCTGGAACACTTATACTTAGACATCTGGACAGCTATTTTCCTCACGTCCAAGTCTCTGCTCACAAGTCAGGTACATTTCCGCCTTGGGATCTAGGCACTGGGTGTTCCTTTTGTCTGGAACACTTATACTTAGACATCTGGACAGCTATTTTCCTCACGTCCAAGTCTCTGCTCACAAGTCAGGTCTCATTGGCCTGATAACTCTATTTAAAACTGCCTTGACTCTAGTGCCTGCCCAATTTCCTTTTTTCATAGCACTTATCACTAATATACTACATATTTTTCTGATTAAATCTGTTCCAACACCACCCTCCCCGCCCAGAATGCTGACGCAAGCCCAAGAACTAAAACACGGAGCTTGACAAGTGTCTCAATAAGTGAATGAAAGAGTGTGTGATATTACTTACCACTTCAGTTAGCACAGCTCTAATTGAAACGACACATGCCATTCCTTGCAGGTGGCCACGTTTCGAAATAAGTGTCTTAGGGCTACCGGAAGTCGAGCGCGGGACCCATTAGCGAGAACGCCCCTCTCCTGCTCGCCTCCTTTTCCCTTCCAGCCTCATTGCTATCTCAAACCAAAATGACTAGAACTAGGAAGACAGTGTCATTTATCTTCATCTGGTACGCTTTTGACAGTGAACGGGAGCTCTTTTAATGATAATACAAAGACACAAACGTAAACCGGAACTCTGGGCAACCTCCAGAAGTGCCTTGGGTTCAGACGTAAAACGGGAAGGACCACTTCCGCCCAGCTCCTTTTCCCCCGACCCATCTTGCAATGCCAAGAGTCCCTGCGCAGGACCGGAAGTGGTGCTAGAGGAGAATTGGTGAGTCCTGGGCTATTTATTCCCGCTTGGCCAGGCCCAGGTTAGCGTAAATTGTGGGAGTTGTGAGATTGCGTCTGTGAAAGGAGGCAGAGGAGGAGACAGGGGCAGGAAACTGGCTTGTGGCATAAGAGCATAGGGCACCAGGGGAGCAGGGGTCCTAACTCAGGAGTTTCTGCCAGTGCCTGGTCTCGTCACTGTCCTGGAAAAGGTCTGAAGTGGGACTGAAATGTCAGGTAGATAAAGTAACGTAAGAGGGTGCAGTTCGCAGGCTGTAAAGTGGTCCCTACTAATGTATTTTAAAAACAGTGCTTACTCTAGGCCAGGCATTGTTCCCAGCTGTACGGTTAAATCTTGTGACAACACTATAAGCAGGGCACTTTTATTCTCATTCTAGAGAAGGTGAGACAGCAGAGGTTGAGACATTTGTTACACAGCTGTGGTTCTGGGAGTTCGTTGCGTTTCAGGATGGGTCCTCCAACCCACAATGCTATGCCGCCTCCCATTGTTAATTGTTGGCGTCAAGCTTCGCGGTTTTCTAAAAATGGAGGGTGTTCTATGTTATTTACAAGGGTTCTTTCAAATTTAGCAGTAAATAACCCAAAAGTGGTATGGTGGCCCACTAGGGCTTCACTTTCAAGGCCTGCCAGATTTAGAAGAGTCTGGAAAGTGGGGCAGTATCAGATCTTGGAAATTCTAGAGTGGAAGTGGTATAAGGACCTTTAGAAGGTCTTCCGAGACCTTAGGCTCCAGTAGATTTTGTAGGCTCTGCATCATTTCTGTGTTTGTGTTTTTGTTTTTAAGAAAAAGCGTGCGGGGAGAGGGGCAGAGGGAGAGAGAGAATTCCATGCAGGCGCCGTGGGGCCGGACACGGGGCTTCATCGCAGGACCCTGGGATCATGCCCTGAGTCAAAATCAAGAAGAATTGGGTACTCAACCAACTGAGCCCCCCCCTCCCCCCCGCCCCGGGCGCCCCATTCAAATCAGATACTGAACAAGTACTCACATCTCTTAGTAAACATTTCTGCTGAAAAAAATAGTTTTTTTCAACAAATTTGTTAAACATTTTTGTTGAAAGAATTTGTTTTTGAAATTACTGGGTTATGACTAATTTGATAAAATTTACAGTTGGCCATGCTTTTCTTGTTAATTATTGTGCATACAATGAATGCTTTTCTTCAAAAACAGAAATGTTCCTAGAATCTTAATGGAATTAACAGTGTTTTGTATAGGGGCTAGACACTGAAGATGTTTATTAAGAAAAAATTTATTTGAGGCACCTGGGTGGCTCAGTTGGTTAAGTGTCCAACTTCAGCTCAGGTCATGATCTCACCGTTCCTGAGTTCAAGCCCTGCATCAGGCTCTCTGCTGTGAGCACAGATCTGGCTTCAGATTCTTCCTCTCTGTCTCTGCCCCTCCCCTGCTCACACTGTCTCTCTCAAAAATAAATGTTAAAAAAAAAAAAGCTTTATTTAAGAAGTTAAAGGATGGGACACCTGGGTGACTCAGCTGGTTAGTGTCTGACTCGATTTCAGCTCAGGTCATGATCTCCCAGTTTGTGAGAGCCCCGAGTTGGGCTCTGTGCTGACAGCATGGGATATTCTCTCTTTCTTTCTCCCCCACCATTCCTCTCCCCACCCCTCCCCCACTTGCACTGTCTCTGACTCTCTCAAAATAAATAAAAAGTTGAAGGAAACTTGTAAGGAAAGATAGTATTTAGAGTAATGGAAAAGGGATGAGGGTGGTTGAAGCAAGGATGGGGAGAAAAAGAACTTTGTGTTGGGGCTGAGGAAGTGGGGATGAATGTGTACTATGTACCAGGCTTGTGCTAGGTGATTTACACATCTTAATTGATTTGCTTCTATGGATGGCCTTTGATTTTGGTTATAGTAGCTCCCATTTGGTAAATGAGAAAACAGCCTCAGAGAAGCTAAGTGACTTACCTAAGGTATCATGTGCTGGTAAGTGGCAGAATCAGTATTTGAACCCAGGGATATGTGACTATAGTTCTTTTGCTCATATGCTTTGCTACCTCAAAGGTCCAGGCTTAAAGTGTACCTGTGTACCATTTCCTGGGTATTGACTTCAGATACTCAATTTTACCTGATTTCTTCTCTCCCTTTTGTTTTGTTTTGTTGTTGTTAGTGTGCAAGCCGGAGAGAGGGGCAGAGAGAGAGACTCTTAAGCAGGATTCATGCTCAGTGGGGAGCTCAGTGCAGAACTCGATCCCACAACTCTGGGATCGTGACCTGAGCTGAAATCAAGAGTCAGACGCTCAACTGACTGAGCCATTTCTGTATGTTATCTCGTGTACTCCTCACTCCCACAACAATCCGGCTTGTTCATTCCCTGATCTGCAGTTCTTCCCGTTCCTTCATGGATTTGAAGGTTCTCCTTTCCTCCTTGAATGACTTTGCATCCCTCTCACTTGCTGAGAGTTGGGACAATGTTGGATTACTGGTGGAACCAAGCCCACCACACACTGTAAACACACTCTTCCTTACCAATGACTTGACCGAGGAAGTGATGGAGGAGGCGCTGCAAAAGAAGTCGGATCTTATTCTCTCCTACCATCCGCCTATTTTCCGACCTTTGACGCACATAACCTGGAAGACGTGGAAGGAGCGCCTGGTGATTCAGGCTCTGGAAAACAGAGTTGGTATTTACTCTCCTCACACAGCCTATGATGCTGCACCCCAGGGAGTCAATAGCTGGTTGGCTAAAGGGCTTGGTGAGAAGCCTCTTCTTTCATGTTTAATATTTTCCCTACGAATGCTTTGAAATTTTAGAATGTCTTTCTAGTAGAATTTTAACTGCTTTAGATGTGGGTACCATTCTATTTTTATATATTTAAAAATAGTGTTGTGAAATCTGGCCATTAAATTGCATTTGAGAAATTAAATTTTCATCCTTAGTAAGGAGAGCATAGGAAATCTTTATTGCTGGACTGAGCTTTGTGAGTCCTCACTCTCGTGACACAGTGCCTGGCACCCAGAAATTCAAGAAGTGCTTGTTAAATTGAGCTCTGAAATCTCAGATCTCTCCAGGATATTCTTTGTATGTCAGTTAGATAGAAATCAGATTTTCACTGAATGCTTACTCATGCCCAGCACAATGACGGAATTCAGTCTATGTGTTTTAGCTTTATTTTTAGTTAGTTATTTTCATTTACTCATTTGGGGTTGAAACTTTTATGATGACATAATCTGAATTAATGTGGTCAAGTAGGTTATGAGCTTTTGCAACCTGAATGATGATTTACCTGAATAAATTTAGTAAGCAGTCACAATTCTATGTATCGTCTAAAACTTCATGAGTCCAGTTTTTGTGGTATTTAACAGTCTTCTGGAAAATAATTCTGAAAATAAATTTGATTTTATGTCAATACTAAATCACTAGATTATGGGGACTTTTGGATGTATATGTAAGGGATATATGTGTGCATATTATATAAACATCAGTTTCTAAAAGCTTATTTCTTAAATTTTGCCCATAATAGTTTATCTTTTTAATTAAAAAAAAAAAAAACAACACAATTTTATTCCTAGGAGTTTGCACCTCCAGGCCCATACATCCTTCCAAAGCTGCCAACTACCCAACGGGGGGAACGCACAGAGTAGAATTCAGTGTTAACTCCACCCAACACCTGGACAAAGTCATTTCTGCAGTGAAAGAAATTGCAAATATTTCTATCACTTCTTTTTCTACTAGGTATGATATATTTTTCTTCTTTTTTGTGTGTACTTATCTGTAAGGATCTTCTTTATAAATTCTGTAACTCTAGTACTGTGAACTGAAACAAATTGTTTCCCCCCAGGATGGGTTTACGAGGCAGTATACTTCTCATTTGCATGTAGGTGCTCCAGAAGAACCATGGGTTTTTTTTTTTCCTGAAACAATAAAAATGACAAGTAACACTTACTATTTTCTAGGTGGGAGGGACTATACTATGCCTTTTATTTACAACGTTTCTAATTCCCCTGATAATGTTGAAAGGTGGTTTTTATAGTATATAGATAAACCCTACTGACTCACTGATTACATAGGTTTACTCTTACCAGTTTCAAGCAAATCAGTGATTCTCAAACACTTTAATGGAAGAAGACATTCAGGTGCCTCTTATAAGGCCAATCATTTATTTAGGGCAGAGATATCAAAATGGTGCCTTTAGTGGATTTTCTTTGAAGCTAACTTATCCGAACATCTTTTGAAGCATGTTAAGAGACAAGTTAGACAAAGCTGGAACTTAATGTTTAAAAAAACAAAGATGAATATAATAACTTTAAGAAGATGGAGATGTGTTCCAGGCTGCAACAAAAAGGGACTCTTGTGAGTGGTTTTTAGGTGTAGATACCTTGTAATAAAATTATTGCAAATGCTTTCTAATAGTGTTGAGGGATTTAAAAAACCTCAAGAAAAATTATTTCTAGGACTTTGTATAGATTCCAGTTATGGATGTCTTTTACCATATTGAAATACTGTGTAAGTACTGAAATTAAAAAGATACACATGAAAATTTCAAACAGTGTAAAAGTCCTCCTTGTTCCCTCTACTCAATTCCAGTATCTTCAATTCATGTTACCTTTTCCTTTGTTTTCAGAGAAGTGGGTATCTTTCTAAACACATACAGGAACATGGAGAAATGCAGATTTTTGTGTTTTTTTTTTTATTGTTTTCTTAATTAAATGGTATGCTGCATTTGCCTCTTTTACTGAACAAGAGGTCTTAGAGATCTTTCTATGTAGGTATAGAAGATCTCTTTAACTGCTATGTAGTGTTTCTTATGGATCTACTGGACTTTCTTTAAGCATTTCTCTTCCTAACTAATGAGCTTTTTCCTTTTTTAAAAAGTTTATTTATTTTGAGAGAAACAGAGACAGTGCGAGCTGGGGAGGGGCAAAGAGAAAGGGAGAGAGAGAATCCCAAGGAGGCAGCGCAGAGCCCAATGTGGGGCTCCTAATTCATTAAACCAAGAGATCATGACCTGAGCCGAAATCAAGAGTCAGACACTCAACCGAGTCACCTAGGTGCCTTCCCCCCCCTTTTTAAAACTGATGCACATTTAGTTTGGTTTTAGTTTTTCCTTATTACGGGTGATATCTGGGTTTTGTGATTAGGTTGGGGTCCAGGCACTTTTTCCCTTTTTCTTGTCAAAGCTCTACAGATGATTCCAGTGTTGACAACTACTCTTCCAGATTCTTTTAAGGTGTCTTTTTGCTCTAGAATTCTATGATTATATTTTTAGAGTTTATGGTTAAATACAAAACTTTTCTGATGCCAGTGTTTTTGGAGACACTTCAGGGCATTGCTTCTCAGGGTCATTCAAGACCCCCTACAGAATGTTGGCTTCATCCTAAAGCTATGTAATTAGAATGGGGTTTGCCTGAAAATCTGTCCAGGAGATTCTTGTTTCAGTGGTTTGAAAAATTAACTTCTTTGGGCCTTAAAACAATTCAGTTTGAGGGCACCTGGGTGGCTCGGTTGAGTGTCCAACTTTGGCTCAGGTCATGATCTCATGGATTGTGACTTTGAGCCCCACATCGGTCTTATGGCTGTCAGCTTGGAGCCTGCTTTGGATCCTCTATCTCCCTTTCTCTCTGCCCTTGCCCCGAGCGTGTGCGTGTGTGCGTGCGTGCGTGTGTGTGTGTGTGCATGTGCGCGCACGCGCGCGTTTTCTCTCTGTCTCAAAAATAAAAAGCCCTTCATTTGGGAAAAAAATTCGATTTGCTTTGGCCCCATTCATAGAAGTTCTATTTCACTGGATCTGTAGAAGGGTCCAGTAGCTATCATTTTAAGAAGCTAGCAGATTTCTGATGCATACCTGGGATTAGGAACAGTTCTAGAATAGTAGTTTCAAAGTGAGGTCCCTGAACCAGCAATATCAGCATCACCTGGAACTTGTTAGGTAAATTCTAAGACCCCACCTAGATCTAGTGAATCTGAAACTGGGGAGTTGGGGTGGAGCTCAACATTCTATTTTAATAAGTCTACAAGGAGATTTGGATGCATGCTGAAGTTTGAAAAATATTTTTGTTTATTTATTTAATTTAATTTTTTTAAGTTTACTTATTTTGAAAGAGAGAGCGAGAGAGAACACGAGCAGGGGAAGGGCACAGAGAGAATCCCAAGCAGGCTCCGCACTGTCAGCACAGAGCCTGACTGGGGTCTGGAACTCACAAACTGAAAGATCATGTCCTGAGCAGAAGTCAAGAATCTTGACACTTAACCGACTGAGCCACCCAGGTGTCCCTTGAGAAATACTATTCTTGGGGCACCTGGGTGGCTCAGTCGGTTAAGCGACTAACTTCGGCTCAGGTCATGATCTCGCAGTTTGTGAGTTCGAGCCCCACATTGGGCTCTGTGCTGACAGATCAGAGCCTGAAACCTGCTTCAGATTTTGTGCCTCCCTCCCTCCCTGCCCCTCCCTGCTCATGCTTTGTCTCTCTCTGTCTCAGAAATAAATAAACATAAAAAAATTAAAAAAAAAGTATTCTTGAAAATGGTTTGGGATTGCAACCTAAATTTCATGTAAATCTTTTTTTTTTTTTAAGTTTGTTTATTTTGAGAGAGAGTGAATGCAAGTGGGGGAGGGGCAGAGAGAGAGGGAGAGAGAGAATCCCAAACAGACTCTGTCTGTCAGCAAGGATCCTGATGCAGGGCTTGAACCCACAAACTGAAATCATGACCTGAGCTGAAACCAAGTGTCAGAGGCTTAACTGACTGGGTCACCCAGGCGTCCCCTAAATTTCATGTAAATCTAATCTTAATTATAGGAGGTTGTAAAGTGTGGATTGTTTATATGTTTTACTTATATTCATCCTAGAACAGCAAGTGATTTTTTTTTTTTTTTTTAATAGGACTGATGATGAAGAACAAACACGGATTAGTCTGAATTGTAGTCAGGAGGCTTTGTTACAGGTGATGGCTTTTCTTTCCCAGAACAGACAATTCTATCAGAAGACTGAAATTCTGTTACTGGAGAAGGTAATAAAAATATATACTGTGCATTTTTGTTTGGCAAATTCATTTGTAAGTTGTTACATCAACACACTGTCAACTGTTACCTAAAGAAGCACAAGGTAGTGTTGAGGGCATAAAATACCCTGGAAAATATACTGTACTGAGAAAGGGAGACATTCCAGGAATGGAAAAGTGTTGGTAGAGGTTTTAGTTCATTCAGGCTGTTATAACAAAATACCCTGGACTGGATAGCTTATGAGCAACAGAAATTTATGTCTCACAATTCTGGAGCCTGGGAATTCCCAAGATTATGGTGCTGACAGATTTGGAGTGGTATCTGGAGAGGGTCCACTTCCTGATTCATCATCGGTACCTTCCCTCTGTGTCCTCACGTAATGGGAAGCACTAAAGATATCTCTTGGAATCTGTTTTAAATTTTTTTTTTTTTTCATTTTTTTTAATTTATTTTTTTGGGACAGAGAGAGACAGAGCATGAACGGGGGAGGGGCAGAGAGAGAGGGAGACACAGAATTGGAAACAGGCTCCAGGCTCTGAGCCATCAGCCCAGAGCCCGACGCGGGGCTCGAACTCACGGACCGCGAGATCGTGACCTGGCTGAAGTCGGATGCTTAACCGACTGCGCCACCCAGGCGCCCCGGAATCTGTTTTATAAACTAATTCCAGTCATGTGGGCTCCCCTCTCATGACTTAAGTACCCCCTAAGGGCTCCACCTGCTAATACCATCATCCTTGGGGGTTAGGATTTCAACATAGGAATTTGTGCAGGGGCAGACACATTCAGGTTATAGAAGTGTAGTATTGTGTGTTTTTTTGTGTGTGTATTTTTTTAAATGTTTATTTTTTTTAGAGAGTGACAGAGTGTGAGTGGGAGAGGGGCAGAGACAGAGGGAGACACAGAATCCAAAGCAGGTTCCAGGCACTGAGCTGTCAGCACAGAGCCTGACGTGGGGCTCGAACCCCCCCGCCCATGAGATCATGACCTGAGCCGAAGTTGGACGCTTAACCAGCTGAGCCACTCAGGTGCCCCAGTGTAGTAGTTTTTTTTTTTTTAATGTTTTTTTTATTGAAGTATGGTTGAAACCCAGTATCATATAGTACTTTTTAGGGTTAGAGACTCGGTTACAGGTTCTATCTCTTTTATACCCTCTGCCTGGACCATTCTATTTGCTCCTTTAACTTGACAGCTATTCATATGGTGATTTCTGCATCTTTACTTTCTGGCTCAGAATGCTTTCTTAAGGTAAAAACTTAAAAAAATAAACCCATATTTCCTGGAACTCTCTGTTCCACTTAATGGATCCCACATATAATTTAGTATATACAAATATTGACCTTATTCCCACATCTCCCCTTTGAATATTACTTTTTTCTATTTCATTGGTGGCATCATCTTCTGCCTGATTTTCCAAGTTTACACAGCTCTCCCTTGCCTCTCATAAATCCATGCCTGCTGATTCTGTCCCCAAATCTATAGAAGGTTTCTCTTCTCTATGTCACCACAGTAGTTGAAAAGTTGTGCTTTGTCACCACAGTAGTTGAAACTCTCCTATCCCAGGTAACAAAAGAAGAGTAGTCTCCCTAGTGGGCACCGGAAGGGCGACAGTCCATGCTTTTTCTCATAGTGTACTGGCCATGGCCTCTGTCTCCATCCCTTGCTCTGCACATCAGCTGTAGCGTCTGCTCTTGGAACCGCTCTGAGCTTATACCTTTCCACATCTCACCCTATCCCTTTCCTACCACACTATACTTGACATCACATTATTATTATTATACATTTTTTTACTTTTTTCTGGTCTGGGAGGCCTACGTTTTTGCAAAACCTTTGGTTCCACTTTCTCCAAGTATCCCCACCCCAAGTCCCAGCTCATTTATTTTGTCATTTCTTTGTGCTCCCATAAAATGGTTCCTGTCTTGTATTTAAACACTTTTATTGTGATTAGTTATCTAAACATTTGCCTCTCAGGAGATTGAGCTCCTAGAAGTCAGAGAATGTTTTTGTCAGGCTTGCATCCTTGAACTTCAACCGGGACCTGGCTGTAGTAAGCTCACAGTGTGCATGTTTTATTGATCTCAGTATTTGCTGTATGTTTTCTAGGACTGAGATGGACAGTTTTTCTAACTTGTGTTTCTCTTCAGCCTCCACTTCCGCAAACTGGGATGGGACGGTTGTGCACACTGGATGAGCCTGCTTCCTTGGCAACCATGATTGAGCGAATCAAAAGGCACCTTAAACTAGCTCATGTTCGCCTTGCTCTTGGGGTAGGAAGGACCTTAGGTAAATATGACCCATTTATTTGTCCAGTGTACCTACTAATAATGTAGTATTACATAGTATTTGGGCAAAAGTTGATGGTTTGGGTTGTAGTAATGTGACAGGAAACATGTTAGCTCACGGGGGGCTGACTGATTTATTTTATCAATCCAGGTGGGCTAGGTTATGCTGTGGTGTACATCTCATTTGGCTCAAGGAAGATTTATGTCTCACTCCTACTCCATGTTCATTTCAAGTCAGCAGGAGAAGTCTACTCATCGTACACTGATTGCTGTTGCAGAGGGGGAGTTTTGGATGGTCTTGGACCATCAGTTAAACATTAACCCAGAAATGATACATTTTCTGTTCAAATCATTGTCTAGAATGAATCACATTTTGAGCACAAGTCAGGGCATGAAGCACAGTCCTACCATGGGCCAGGAAGGGTGCCGGAAGTTTTTATTATTCCAATTACAATGCAAGTATTCTATTTTATAATACTGATGGCATTTTACAGCAAGGTGCCAAGTGATCCACTGCAGTTTCCGAGTCTTGTAGTCTTGGTTTTTGGCTTTTAAATACTGCAGTAAACATAGGGGTGCATATATCTTTTCAAGTTAGTGTTTTTATTTTCTGTGTGTAAATATCCAGTAGTGGAATTACTGGGTCATATGTATTCCTATTTTTAATTTTTTGAGGAACCTCCATACTGTTTCCCACGGTGGTTGCACTTAGTAATGTTCCCACTAGCAGTGCATGAGGGTTCCTTTTTCTCCACATCCTTGCCAACACTTGGTATTTCTTGTCTTTTTGTTTTCAGCCAGTCTGAGAAGTGTGGGTGATCTCTCACTGTGGTTTTGTTATGCATTTCCCTGATGATTAGCAATGTTGAGCATCTCTTCATGTGTCTTTTGGCCATCTGTATGTCTTTGGAAAAATGTCTTTTCAGGTCTTCTGCCCATTTTTAAATTGGATTATTTGTTTTTTTATAGTGTTGAGTTGTAGAAGTTCTTTATATATTTTGGATGTAAGCCTGTCATTGGATATATCATTGCAAATATCTTTTCCCATTGAACAAATTGCCTTCTCATTTTGTTGATGGTTTCCTTTGCTGTTCAAAAGCTTTTTATTGTGGTGTAGTCCCAATAGTTTATTTTTGCTTTTGTGTACCTTCCCTGAGGAGACCTATCTAGAAAAGTATTTCTAAGGCCGGTGTCAGAGAAATTACTGCTTATGTGTTCTTGTAGGAGTTTTATGGTTTCAGGGCTCATATTTAGGTTTTTAAACCGTCTTGGGTTTATTTTTGTATATGGTATAAGAAAGCTGTCCATTTTCATTTTTTTGAATGTAGCTGTCCACTTTACCCAACACCATTTGTTTCTTTGTTTTTTCTTTTTTTTTTTTTTTTAAATTTTTTTTTTTTTCAACGTTTATTTATTTTTGGGACAGAGAGAGACAGAGCATGAACGGGGGAAGGGCAGAGAGAGAGGGAGACACAGAATCGGAAACAGGCTCCAGGCTCTGAGCCATCAGCCCAGAGCCCGACGCGGGGCTCGAACTCACGGACCGCGAGATCGTGACCTGGCTGAAGTCGGACGCTTAACTGACTGCGCCACCCAGGCGCCCCTCTTTGTTTTTTCTATTGATAACCAACTTTATTTTTTTTTTTCTTTTATTTATTTATTTTTAAAATATAATTTATTGTCAAGTTACCTAACATACAGTGTATACAGTGTGCTCTTGGCTTCGGGAGTAGATTCCCATGATTCATTCCTTACATACAACACCAGTGCTCATCCCAATAAGTGCCCTCCTCAATGCCCATCACCCATTTTCCCCTCTCCCAATCAACCCTCAGTATGTTCTCTATTTAAGTGTCTCTTACGGTTTGCCTCCCTCTCTGTCTGAAACTATTTTTCCCCCTGCCCTTCCCCCATGGTCTTCTGTTAAGTTTCTCAAATTCCACATATGAGGGAAAACATATGTATCTGTCTTTCTCTGACTGACTTATTTCACTTAGCATAATACCCTCCATTTCCGTCCATGTTGTTGCAAATGACAAGATTTCATTCTTTCTCATTGCCAGGTAGTATTCATTCCATTGTGTATATAAAACACATCTTCTTTATCTTTTCATTACTTGATGGACATTTGGGCTCTTTCCATAATTTGGCTATTGTTGATAGCGCTGCTGTAAACGTTGGGGTACATATGCCCCTGTGATTCAGCACTCCTATATCCTTTGGATAAATTCCTAGTGGTGCTATTGCTGGGTTGTAGGGTAATTCTATTTTTAATTTTTTGAGGAACCTCTGCACTGTTTTCCAGAATGTGGCTGTACCAGTTTACATTCCCACCAACAGTGCGAGAGGGTTCCCGTTTCTCCATATCCTCGCCAACATCTGTTGTTTCCTGTGTTAATTTTAGCTACTCTGATTGGTGTGAGGTGGTATCTCAGTGTGGTTTTGATTTG